TCGCGCGCTGCGCACTGGTGTGTCCCTTCAGACGGCGAGCAGAGACGCGGACCCGTGCGCACACTCTTTGCCCTGGGTTTTGCCTGTCAGGCGGACATTTCAGGCACTTTACTCGTTTAAACCTTTTATTTCTACATTAGCGCTTTTTAATGTGAAAGCATCTTAACTGTCTTAAAATAATTGATTGTTAATTAAATATCTTTTGAATAAAACTGTGATTTAACTGGAACCGGTTGCCTTGTATTTCAATACACTTACTTGTGTGCCTTCAATCTACACTACATTATTTCCCCAGGAAGTCTGGGGTGGCGTTGCTACAACCTCTCTAAAATCTTTTATTGTTATGATTTTTCCGATCTGTTAACCCCTCGGTTGCCACATTAGTATTGTTTGTCCTAATCCAGAAAGTTTACAATTCTCACACCTGAAGAAAGATGAGAGGGATTTTTTCAACTTCGTGACTTTCGGAAAATAAGTACAGACGAAGCGCGTCGGGGTCCGCTTATTATACTGCTTTGTACCAACTGAACACACAAAATAAACTTCAGTCACTATTCATGCCAAAAGGTTTATTTAATGAGTGCAAAGAAAATAGTTCCCAAAGGTTTTCCCGTGGCAGGCGAGTAACAGTGAGGCTGGTTCACCTACTTCAAAAAAGCGATCGTTTTAGTCGCATTAAAAAAGTATTTTTGTCATGAAAACCTGAACAGATACTTCTGAAAACCTCCGTGCACGTGTGTTACCAATGTGTGTGCATAATATATTCTCCCATTAACATTTAAATGTCGATTGATTGTCATTTGTGTTTACTGAGTGTGGCTCTGATAGTTTCTCTCAGAGACAGTAGTGGTGTAGCCCGTGTGACCCATGGATCTATTATAATATCAGCTGACTGTAACTAACTAATGATCAAACTAATTACAAAGTGGACAGTGCAAAAAAAACTTGATAAATGAAAGTTAATCACAGCAAAATAAACAAAGAAGACGCTAACATTGCAATTTAAATGACTAACTAGCAAATGTTAGCATAATCCTCACCATTACCTTTTTATCAACTCAAACTTTCTACCAGTTACAGACCACGACATTCAAGCCAACGTTTTAATTGGTCTACACTATGGTCCTGATGGTTTGATGGTGGAATTTTGCTCCTGGTTTATCATTTTCGTCTAAAGTGACAAGTGGTATTTGATTCATTTGGGCAGTGTTTGTCCGAAACATGTGGGCGGGACCTGACAGGCGGCGGGGGCGTGACGTCATTCAGATAGTTCGCTATTGGCCCCTTACCTAAAATACCCCTTACTGTTTGTTGAAATTTGGTTAATACTTTAGTTTATTTAGTTTTATTTAGTTTTGTTTATTGTTAAACATTATTGGTCATTTATTTTATATATATTAATTTATTAATGCACACGAAATTGTGGACTGGGGGATGTAAACTTCTAGTCAGGGTCAGAAGAGGAGCTTCTAACCTCAGTATGTTTGAAAATAACAACATTGTTTTCCTAAATATGTCTTGTAGCATCCATCAAAAAACAGTAAATCAAAATAATCTACCGAATATATGAAATACTCTGGAAAATAAGCTGTTAAAACAATATTACTAAATAATCAAAACAATAATATATAATACAAATATAAATATCATATTGAGGATTTTTTGCAGTTGTTTTTTCATGTTATGTCTTCTTTAAATACTTGAAAGGAATGGCTTTAATCACACTATCCCCAAATATTGCATCTATTTTACCACAAACCAGAACTCTTAATAAATCGACGGTTCAGGTCCCTTCATATCCACCTGTCAAACCACTACTCGCCCGGAGTCGACAGGCCGCCATTGGTCCGTGTAGAGCGTAGTCAGAAATGCCACACAGCCCCAGACCACAGGTTAAGGGCCGAGGAATCTCAATAACTCCCACATCCAGACCCATTCCAGATGTGACGTGTGATTACGCCACGGCTTCAGACTGCGTTTACAAAGCCATCTCCAGTAATCAGCCCTCTATTGCCCCTTTCAAACATGTCTTAAGCATTATCTGTGTGTGGAGCATCTTCCGCCTGCGCGCAACAAACTAAAATGTAATTGATATTGGCAACGCTTTCCCAAAAAAACACAGCTCCAACGGCAAAACGCATACATAAGAATTGCTGGTTTAACAAATGGGCTCCAATCAAGACTACATGCGCAAATGCCAAAGTCAATATAAACATAGATGGAGGAGGGCCGACACGCTGTGTGGGGAGGGCTTTTTCAATGGAACTTTGGTGATATGAGCAAAGAAAGACATTTTGAAATTGTGAGTTGTGCCGTTAATAGAAATGATATTATGCTGACTGATTTGCAGGGCCTCTGGGTTAAAACAAATACATGCAAGACTTTTCCCAATGCGTGGTTAATGTATGGCACATGTGAGCACTGATTTTAAATATGTTAAATGTAAGTTTGTGTACATAACTGTGCTTTTCATCAGATTCTTTGGTTGAAGTCCATAAGTTATTAATGATGACTTGTTGAGTAAATAAGAGGAAATGGCCAAAAGGGAGATAAAACCGCACATGAAAGCAGAATGACCACATTATGTATTCTGCGCACACTACAGGGGCCATTATATACAGTAGTTGTGCCTGAAAGTTTGCACTGGAAACCAGAGATTTCATTATTTGGTTGCACTTATGAAGGCTTTTAAAGTGGTTGTTTGAAGTAGGACGGAAAGATTTGATCGATATGAACACTCAAGATTGATTTTTTTTTTTGTAAAGTCCTGTAGATTTTCAATATGACGTCACGTTTTTGCGCTTACCAATCTGTAGTACTTCATTGTAGATATCTGGCATAAATATCAATATCTGAAAGGTTGTCCAGCTCCAGTGTGAAGACATAAACATCAAATAAACATGTTTTCTTATCAAATTATAACACTATGAGCCGTTCTGTGCAGGTCATTCAAGGCGGAAAAAGGTCTTCACAGGAAATACAGGCTTTTTACCAAGACAAATGGGCAGCTTTACCATCAGAGAGGATAAAGAACCTCATCCACAACTACCGCAAAACACTCCCAAGCTGGCATAAAACACAATATTGAGGACTGGGGGTTGGAAACTTCTAGTCAGGGTCAGAGGAGGAGCTTCTAACCTCAGTATTCGTTTTCCTAAATATGGCTCAAATGTTGTCTGTACCATGTATCACCCTGAGTAAGAGCATTTTACACATATAATTTGGTTAACAATACCAAAAAGAACTACCCTGGTCATGTTTTTTCTCGACAGCCACAACCTCACATCCGTTACAGCTCTTGGACCAGGGAGAACAGACGAGATAGTGCTGAAGAGGACATTGACTGACTAATACTGACAATTGATAAGCTCCAGTGAAGTACATGTAGATCAAGCCAACACCTCATCCCTTCAGCCTTTCATAGGAAATAATACATGGCAGTACAGGAATTAGTGTGGACAATCAATCATTCAGTATTATGATTGAACCGCTGTAAACATAACGTCTGTCTGTCAGGCTTCACTGCTGCAATCTCCACTTAGTAAAAAGGTGAAATATCGATTCCCCCGGGGTCTTGACACTGCTTGTGAAGTTACTGATCTCGGCTGGACAACAACAGCAGTCATCAGTGGGAGTCGGTGGAGAAGGTGCAGAGCTGGGAATTGAACCCACGACCTTCTGGCCTTAAGGCTAATGCTCTACCAACTGAGCTACTGTCGTCGTTATTTAACTCCATTAATCTATTTGTGACATGCTGTTGGAGTGTTTTAGTGTCAATATATCACGCCATCAAGAAGGCCATTTCCACATCTATCCCAAGCCCTAATGACACTGCAAAATGTCACCTTTAAATAGCCACTTTGACTGAAACGCTGAGCTCAGAGGATTTTAATTGAGTTCACCTTCACAAAGTTGCCGGTGTTACGTAACGTCCACAGCAGTCCCCCCCACGTCGACTCTCACACTAAACATTATTACATTACACCACAGGGCTCGTTAATTAACCGGCAGGATCTCTCACGCTGGGGGTTTCTCGCAACCACCACTGCCATTTGTCCCCATTAAGAATGAATTAACTACACAATAACTGTATGTTTGCGTAGGAGAGCCCGCTGTTTGTATGTTGGGACTCGCTCTATGTGCAGTGACAAAGTGACTCCTGAGGTTTATTAATGGCGTCCATTTACTGCGTCCGATGTAGGATTTATTCTGCTGTCCTCGGCTGTTATTTTCACTGTAATTTAACCAATATTACTGTGTGTGTTCAGGGTCCCAAATGTTTGACTTTGCTTTGGGCATTTTCTTACACTTTTCCGTTTTCTTATTATTCTTTGTCTCGCTAATGGCCTTTTTTCCCTTCAGTCTGTTTCTCTTGGCACTGGTTAATTGTGTTTGTTGGTGTTAGTCCCACAGCTCACAGTAAAGCGAGAAAACTTCTGGCGTTTTGCTCATAGCAGCCAGATATGTGGACTAACAAATCTGAAATAACTCGTAACCACTTGTTTCCAGGGATGTTTGTCATTCATCAGTTATTTTATTTTAATATTACCTCTTGTTTCAGTGTTCATTTAACAGCAAGATGTGGAAGACTTTTTTTTTGAAATGTTCATCTAATATGACTCATATTAAGTCTTGGTGTAGATGAAGTAAGAAAATTAAACTGGTTCCTGGCTCTCAAAACAGGTTTATTCTAGCTCCAGTTTTCACATGCATGTATTTTTAGAACGACTTTTGAGGCAAAAAAGTGAAAAAAGGGGACCACCATCACTTGGCTCTCAGCCCAAAGCGTCAAAAACTGACTCATTTTTTAGTAAGATAAAGAAAGCATTTAAGAGAAGATGCCTCCGTTCAGAACAACAATCAAATAAGTTAGGTACCGCTTAAATTCCACTGACACAGGACGAATGGAATAATAGTGGGGGTTGTTTGTATTTTTATGTGAATCCAGAAAAAGGAGATGAGGAGCAGACTAACGTGTGATCATTCTGTGATGTTTGCAGGAGCCCTTCTCAAGGAGAGCTTCATAGATGAACCCGACGGCCTGGTGTCGGTGAACCTGCTGGTGGTGTCTGCCGTGTCGGCCTTTGCCACTGGAGCCGTGATTTCAGGACTGGCCGTGTGCTGGATCATGAGCCACAGGCATCGGCACTCTAAGTGTGGAGCCAACACGTCCCGCAGGAAGAGCGACAAAGAGCAGAGCATGCTGGCCCAGGGGCGCACCGGCTCGGTCATGAGCGTGACCAGGACCAGTGGAGGAGAGAGGCGGCGCTCCCAGCCCGATAACCTCTTCGTCATGCACAACGGCTGGCCCAAAGACATGGACCCAGGCCTGCTGCCCACTCCAGAGCAAACCCCCTTGCAGCAGAAGAGGAGCATGCGGCTTCCTGACACCGACTGGGACCAGAGCCAGACCTTCCTGACCGCCTGCCCCAACAACTCTGTCATCTACCTGAGCTCAAAGTTCTTACATGGAGGAGGAGGGGGGATGGTAAGGATAGATGACCCCGGCGAGGTGGTACTTCCACCCCACACTGAACGCCAGCGTTACTTGATCCTGGCGGCGCAGAGAGGAGAGCGTCCCTCAGGCACCCTGCGGAACTCAGCAGGGGACTACATCTACCCCGCCACGCCGCAGGACTCCCCTGACCGGCGCAGGGTGGTGTCTGCACCTGCCCCTCACATGGACTACGGAGACCCACGCTGGACTCATGAGGCCCTCAACTACAACGCCAACAATGCGGCTCTCTACCACCCGCATCGGCACGGGCTCATCCGGCCTGACATGCAGGGCCCGCGGGGGCTGGGGGAGCTGGCAGACTTCAGCCATCTCCTGGTCAAGAACATGGGAGAGCGCACACCGAGTGGTCAGTGAGGTGAAGGACACGACTGTTCTGCAAAAGCTCTCGATCAAATCATTGTCCAACACAAATTTGGATTCCAGTGCGCTCCCAGACTCGTGTTCCAACTTTACTCTGTGTGTCCTCTCACTCATTCAACAATACAGGTGTGATTCAGCCTCCCAGAGAGAGTCCTCGTCCACCTGTGTCTGAGCGCCCCCCTGTGGCTCAGCAGTGCTCTGCGCACAGCGACAGGACACCCTGAACAGGGAGGGTGCAAGCCATGGAGATTCTTCTCATGGGACAGTGTTGAGAAAACTGCCAATTCTCACAGAATCAAATGTGAAGGTCTCGCTCCATCCTTTTTCTCACCATAGACGTTTTTTTTGAGTGTGAAATCTAATTTCTGCTTTTTTATTTTTGTGCCAGTGGCAACTGTTGGACAATGGTCTGCTTTGTTTTGGGTTTCAAAATGCCTGAAACTGTGCCAGAGGGCAGAGACTCTGACTGAACTCAGCAGGGTCTTGTGTGTGACTGCCTGTAAGCGTGTGTGTGTGTGTGTGTGTGTGTGTGTGTGTGCGTCTGTGTGTGTATGCGTCTGTGTGTGTGTGTGTGTGTGTGTGTGTGTGTGTGTGTGTGTGTGTGAGAGAGTCACACTGTCCTGTTTAACTGTGAATGGTGTGACTTTTCTGATGTTGCGATACTTTTCTCTTTCTATGTACAATCATTTAGAGACAGCCACCTTTGTCTCTTAAAACATGTTTTAACAATCAGTGACGGAATGACCCGTGGCGAAGCCGGATCATTCTTGTAAAGTTTATACTCTTTATATTTAAAGTGCACATAGCCATGACATGAAAGAAAGCAATAATGAGCAAGACTTAAAAGGGAAGAGTACATATTACATTGTTGACATGTTTTTTTGTTATTTTTAATGATTTTCTGGTAAACGAGGCAGTACGCATGATTAGCCCCATGACTGCAGCAGATGCTTTGGTCTCCCTGATTACCACATCCCATCAGAGAATGTGAGCCGAGGCTGGAGCAGACTGTGAGGCCCCTGGGAGCCCTATTCTCTGTCCCTTGCCTGCACACTGAGCGCCTTTGTGCCCATAAGCAAAGAGGAGACCGCAGCAACAAATGGCCGTTCGAAGTCAGGGGCTGCGTCCAATGCCGCTGCCACAGAGAATGTCAATGAGCGAGACAGTCAGGCCTCTCCATCATGTGAGATACGCGCCGAGGGGAGGTGCACCACTCTCTGTTTGGCCCCATGTGGTTTTGGGAGAATGAAAGCAGACGGGCAGATGTCAGGTGTGGGTTTACCTGTTCAATCCTGTATGCAAATGTAGATCCCATGATAGTTGATCTGGGTCATGGCGCTGGGCCTTGCCGTCTCATATAGACGATTAACTTTGGGTCTAACCTGACTCCATTTTGTTCACTGCCATCGAGACTACTAAACTAAAAAAGTGCTTAAAGCTGGGGTACCTGACTTTTAATGGAGAAGAAAGATCCTGTAATTGACACTGGGCTGAGAGCTGACTGGCTGACTGAGGGCGGTCACTTTTCTGTAAAAAAAACTTTGAAGCCAATGTGAAAACTAGTGATTGTCCCAAACTGATGTATTTTAATAAATAGTTTTTTGTGGTTTTGACAGTTGGGTAACCCTGCCTTAAGTGAGTATGGTATATTGTTTTAGAGGAACAGATTTGCCACTGGAGCAAGCATGAAATGTCTCATCTAAACTGAGCTAAAAAAAATATTTCTCACATAGAATAAGGATTCATTCCCAGTGTGTTGGTGATAACACACAGCTGCATACCAAAACATTTAAAAGCCATTCTAAATTAAGCAAGTATGAACTTAACTTTCATTTTGTAACAGCCACACTGGTTTTATCCTATTGCCCTGCTGCATTATTGCCCACTACATCAACCCAATTTAAATTTCAGTCATACAGTAAGTGCTGATTAGTACTGAGCCCCTGAAACTCCCCTCTCTGCCTGCTCTGATCTCCATCACTGCACCGGCCTCAGCCCAGCGTGCGCAGTCACCCTGTGTCCATTCCACTGTTGGACTAAACATGCTCCATTGGATGAAAACGACTTTGAACTCTGTCTAATGAAGATCACTATGGACACACCAGCGACTTATCCCCTCTGCTCACCGCTGCACAGCCCCTGAACCAAAGCCTAATGTGTTTGAATGGAAGATCAGGCCATGCTTAAAATAGGCCAACTATGACTGATTGTTCAAATAACTAAACGTCACATTCACACAGCATCCAGCCATCCCGGTTCAGAATGATAATGTGTTTACAAAGTTATAATTGGTACATATAGATGTGCTTGAAAGTTTAAACACTCAGTCCCGAAATGTATGTGTTTTGGACATATTTTGGTTGGATTATGAATGCTATCTTTTTTGTACATATCATTATTGACGTCTTTTCTATTTTGAAACTAGAAAAGGCTCAGCTCCAGTCCTGTATTTAGACAATGATTCGGATCACCTCCAAAATTGATTTTTGAGTTATGTGGCTCACAGACAAAGCAAACACATGCAGTTGATCACTTGTTATTGAGCCTCCCTGAGATCTCAAACATGCAGTTCACACAAGGCAGCCCAGGAATATACGGGAACTGGAGGCGTTTTGCCAAAATGAATGGGCAGCTTTGCCATCGAAGAGGATAAAGGACTTCATCCACAACTACCACCAAGGACTCCAAGCTGTAGTAGAGAACTGGGGGATGGAGACTTCTGATCAGGGTCAGATGAAGAGATTCTAACCTCATTATAACTTAAAAATCTGTGAATAATTTGAAGATAAATGGCCAGGGGTAAATATGTTATGATTCACAATCTCTAAAATATGTAGATTGCCCAAAATAAATCCAAAGTTCGGCCTGTGTGTGTGTAAATAACGGACTGAGGCCAAAGCTTTTTACCTTTCCCTATTTTATCAAGTCCGGAAACAAAGCTTTCGTCAAAAGGAGGCTTCTTTATTCCACCTCAAATCCTTCACGGGTGGCGATTTATTTATTTTCCCAGACATTTTCCGAGTCTCTCATGCAGTAAATTACTTTCTTTCCTTGCCGTCGAGCATAGAAATTATTTTTGTGGACTCTTTAAGGAAACATAGTGTTGTTTGGCTGGAGCGCAAATGTCCATGCACACTTCCCCTTTGATCACAAAAATGCACATTATAATCACCACCGCGTAGGCAAGGCCGGCCCTGTGACCCTCAAAACACATTTTCCATGTTGTGTGTTTTGTTGTGATAAGAATAAAAACCCAGCTGGTAACTGCCATTTGGCCAGCAGCTCTCCCTCTTAAAGCTGGGGTACCTCACTTTTTAACTTCACTACATGCTGTCTTCTTTTGCATACTTGTTAGAAAAAGCCCTTTGAGTCACTATTTGATTAACCTGGTCTTATCCATCCGCACACGCCGCTCAATCATGATCTCACTGCATGTAACGTCTGGGTCTGGTCCCTGTGTTAGCGATTACAATCGGTTGAATTTCGACCGACCAATCAGAGAGCGCGGAAGGAGAGTGTTGTAGTTAGTTGTGGGTGAGGTCAAGAGTTTGCGTCGAACGGGAAGGTCGTGGTTTAGCAATGGCGAAGAATGCGATAGTAAAGTATTAATCCGGTCTGGTTCTATCAAGAAACTGAAGCCGGAGCAAGAGGAATGTTTAGCAAATGTAATCGCTGGTCAAGATTGTGGCGCTACTCCCCACGGGCTCCGTTAGCAGCAAAGGAGATGGCTAAAGCTAGGCTAAATGCTAACAACTCACTCAGGTCCAATCGTTTCAATCTGCAAAAGGAGTTAACCCCTCCCACCTGTTAACGGAGTCAATAGAGCAGATCCAGACCTTAGTACGAAGTGTAATCTGTACTATGGTGTGGTACGACCAGGCTACTATTGGACGCTTTGGGGGAGTGATCTGATTGGCTGATTGAGGGTGGTCCTCTCTTTGTCATGAAAAAAAGCTGATCTAAAGATGTGAAAGAGGCCAAAAACTCATGCATGTGAAACTAGTGATAAAACCAAAGTGTTTTGAGAGCGAGGAACTAGTGTGATGGATTTAATTACATCCATCTATCCATATTGGTTTGGTTTGAAAGTCAGGTACCACAGCTTTAAAGAACACAAAAGAGAAGAAGAGAGTGGCCGATGAAAAGCACAAAGTGAAACATTATCAAGGTTATTATTTCATGTTGTTTTGTTCCTGTGGTAAATGATTCCTTTGAGGTTCTAGATAATTGTACATGATTTCTGGTGTGCCGGATTGACAATGACGACTGAAGACTATCACAATACGGACCCGGACTGAGACGCCGCGTCCTGTTTTTGAGGGACAGCGGCGTCTCCTTTTGCTACTGTGAAGGACGCTTATGGCCGCGCTATATGGACCCGACCGGACCCCGCCCTCCTGTACATACCCCTGCTTACGTGTGACGTGTGCTGCAGCTGCATGAAGACACGGCTCTAAGTGTACAGTGTGATTTTGTACGTCCCATGCAAGTGTGCGCCAGTCTCCATACACACAGCCACACGTGCATGAACCATCCCCGCTCCGGCCGCTCACGGGTCCCACATGGGTCCCCACATGGGTCCCCACAATACAGTCTATGGTCCCCACATGGATCCCCCCCATGGGCCCCCTCCACTGTCCCTCACGCTGCCTGTCACTCCTCCTGGAGACTACTGTGTCAACTTTCTTATTGTAATAAACCACTTGACATTCAACCTGGACTCGCTGTGGAATTATTGATGTTTTGAGTAAGCAAGTTATTTGTTATTTATTTATTTGGTTGGGACAGTACACGTTCATGAACACATCTCTCCGGATTGTTACCATGGGCTTATTTCCAACCGTTGTCGCACATTCGCACTCACAAACACACACTCATTCACCCTGAACTAGTGGTATGGGAAACCGGAGCACCTGGAGGAAACCTACACTGACACGGGGAGATCATGCAAACTCCACTCCAGAAAGGCCCTGTTCCGACCGGGATTTGAACCC